GCGTCTCGTCGGCGTCCAGACATCTCCCCTCCGCGTAGACGTGACCCGCCTCTGCCTCGCTCGGCAAGGCGGCTGTAATCACCACAGCCATCATCGGCGCTGTACGCCGCCGAAGTCGGCCGGCTGGTCGCTGGTGCCCAGGTGCTTCGCTGCGGCACCTGAAGCAGCCTCCAATACTGCTGCTGGCTACGTACAGCCGGCAATAGAATTCCCACACGCACAGAACGGCCCCACCCCCGACCGCCCTGAATGGAGCCTGTAGAAGAAGCAAGTAAAGGCCGATGAAGGTGCGGCTTGGCTGTGCTTCGATTGGTAGGGGCAGCCAACCGCGAAACGCCAGCCGCCATTCAAGAGAGAGTGAGAACATGCGTAGATAATATGGCTACGAAATAGGTGGACGAGGGGAAGGGAGGAAGGGCAGAGAAGAGAGAGAGAGAGAGAGCAGAGAGAGAGAGAGGGCGAGAAGAGAGAGAGAGACGAGAGAGAGAGAGAGAGACGGAGGAGCAGAGAGAGAGAAGAGAGAAGAGAGAAGAGAAGAGAGAGAGAGAGAGGACGAGAGAGAGAGAAGAGAGAGAGAGAGAGAGAGACGAGAGAGAGCGAGAGAGAGAGAGAGAGAGAGAGAGAGAGCTGGCAGAGGAGGGACACAACACGAGAGACCGAGAAACCGTGAGAGACAACAACGAAAAGCCTACTCATAAGAAACTATTCATAAAACACAAGCAAATTCAACAAAAAAAATAAACACACGGCAAGCAATTAATGGCTGCAATTACACACGCAAGCTATTAAGCCCTGTCCTCTTCAGCCTCATCCCTGACATAAGCAGATGCAGCCTTTGTAGAATCGCTTGATCGTCCGTCCGTCGTTCGGTCTGTCTTGTGTCGCGGTCGTCCGGTCGTCCGTCCCAACAAGTTGGCTACAAATCTTAAACCGCTCGATCGTAGCGGTCACGATATTCGGCTCGTGGGGGACGCTCAAAAGAGTCTGGCCAGTCGAACTGGCGGGTCAAAGGTCAATAGGTCAAGAGTGTAAAAGAAGGGACATTCACTCCTTAACCTTAAAGCGTTATACGGGAGGAAATGCAGAAATTCGCGGCACAAATTAAACGCTCGACCTAGGCCTCGTGATACGGTGCGTGTACTAGGCATCATCGGTAGGAATAAGGCCATCACTGTGCCGAAATTGGGGTCCACAGTCAAAGTCCAACTGAAGCACAGCGGCAGATTCTTAGACATCTCTCACGCACGCGCTCTGCACGACGCGATTGGAGAGGAGTGTGTGTGTTTCAGCGGTGACCTATCATTTTTATGCTGTATTGAAAGGACTCATGAAATGCTGCATATTCCATCTGACATGGTGCGAAGAGTAAGTGTCTGATAACGCTTTGACCCTCAAGAGATGGTTAAATCATGGATTTGTGAGAATGTCTGTTAGAAAGAATGAGGTGGTGGCTAGTAGACATGCCTGGATGTATGAGGCTACAATGTCACAGTGAAAATTTCAAAGGCTAATATTTGTGTAAAGAAAGGTTTTATGGCTCCTTAAATCGTATAATTATATGGCATTCTGTAGTGTCAGTATGTTTAGCATGTAACGTATGCCACTTGCCAGTGGCTACTGCCAGTGCTATGTGTAGTGGTACTGTGGAGTTTTTGCCTTTAATGTGCAGGTGGCAGCTCTTATTCTGCGCAGGCCTGTAGGCTTGCGTAGGTAAAATGATGAGTGCTTACCGTAGTGTCTGTCTTGCAGGATAGTTGTTGCGTACTACATATGATGGGAGCTTCATTCTTTAATCTGAGAAGCACACTTAAACGTAACGCCATCTCGTGGCAACTTTCATAAACGATCGCCAAGAACATTTTTTGAGAAAGTTGCCTGATACGGCAAATCCTGGTGGCCATTCCACTGATACGTGTATGTGAACACATTTGGGACTAACAGGGTTTACTAGAATCCCAGCCACTACCACCACAGAGTCACCGGAGAGTTAGATGAGCGCTGTCGCTATGCGGCACTTGTTTAATAGCAATTAAAAAATAAAGCACGAAGGCAATTCGAATCGCTTAATTTATGGCAATCATGCCAGATGAAGCCGAAAATTATGCTTTCAAATCCTCGCGCCGAAGACAAAGGAGCACTTCAACAAGAACAAACTCGGGCAGCCACCGCCTCTGCCGACAATGAAGCGAATTCAAATGTGGTGTCACATAACTACAGTGACTGCCTGTATTGCAGCTCCGATCCTCAGCTTCAGGCAACGCGCAAATGAAGCAGGAAGTAATGAAACGAAAAGAAGCGGGGATGTCTCAGCGTAATAAAACGACTGGCGAGTAGAAACTAAAACGGCAGTAGTAGTAGCTAGCAGCAGCAGCAGCAGTAGTAGGGGGCAGGCAGGCAGCAGCAGTAGTAGCCGCAGCATGCAGTAAGCGTAGGCAGCAGCAAGTAGTAAGGTAGCAGGCAGCAGTAGTAGCAGTCAGCAGCAGCAGTAGTTAGAGCAAGCTGCAGTAAGAGCAGCAGTAGTAGAGCAGCAGTAGTAGTAGCAGCCAGCAGCAAGCAGTATAGCAGCAGCAAGGCGATTAGCAAGTAGGCCAGCCAGCAGTAGTATTTATTATGTATGTATTTATTAGCAGTAGCAAGAAGCAGCAAAGCAGTAGTCAGCAGGCAGCAAGCAGGCAGCTGGCAGTAGCAGGAGCAGCAGTTAAGTAGCAGCAGGCAGTAAGCAGTAGTAGCAAGCAGGCACAGTGAGCAGTAGGCAGTAGTAGTAAGCAGGCAGCAGCAGACAGTAGTAGCAGGCAGCAGCAGCAGTTAAGTCAGCAGGGCAGCAGTCAGTAGCAGTAAGCAGCAGAGGCAGCTAGTAGTAGGCAGCAGCAGATCAGTAGCAGTAGCAGGCAGCAGCAGCTATAGCGCAGTCCCAGCAGCTGCTGCAGTAGGCACATGGCAGTATCAGCCGAAGCAGCAGGCTCACAGAGCACACGTAGCTCACGAGCAATTAGTAGCAGTCGTCAGTTAGCAGTAGCATAGCAGCAGCAGTTATTTGTAGCAGCAGCAGTCAGCAGTAGCAGTAGGCAGTAGGGCAGAGGAGGGCAATGTAGTTAGTAGTAGTGCAGAGCAGTAAGTAGCAGATAGCAGCAGCAGCAGTAAGTAGTCAGGCAGGCAGCACCAGCATCAGTAGCAAGCAGGCAGTAGTAGTAGTAGCAAGCAGCAGAGTAGCAGCCAGCAGGGCAGCGCAGCAGGCAAGTAGTAGATAGTAGGCAGCACAGTACGACCGCAAGCAGCAAAGCAATCACTAGCAGCGGCATTGTAGTAGCAGCAGCCGTCAGTAGTAGCTGCAGGCAGCAGAGGCAGGAGAAGTAGTAGACAGCAGGCACTAGTAGTAGTAGTAGGCAGCATGCACGCACACGCACACCACCGGGACACCGACACGGCACCACCACCACACCAACACCACGCAGCACCAACCACAAGATGATCACGCATCACCACCGACCATCACCACCGATCTATGTTAACAAGAAGGACAACGCACCACCGGGAAGTGGAAGGACATCAGCAAAGCAGGCAGCAAGCACACCAACCGCACCACATCACCACCACAGCACAGCAGAGCAGCGCAACAGGGCAGTAAAGTCGGCACGCAAGGCAGGCAGCAGCAGCAACAGCAGCAGCAGCAGCAACAGCAGCAGCAGCAGCAACCGCGCTAACACTCTTCGCTAACTATTACCGCTCGCTCGTTTGCGCGCGGTGGGAGAGGGGGGGGGGGTCCCAGGAGCGCTGAGTAGTTGTGTACTGCGTGCAAAGAAGAATCAAAAGAGAAAAACCACTTTTCGTCAAGCGTCGGGATTTTCTAATAGGCTGGGAGAGAATTTTATAACATCGCGCGACGGCGAACAAAACTCAATAAGCCGTTGCTGCCACGCTCCAGTGCTGCCTTCCAA